CCTGGGATAATGCAGCTTTTGGAATAACATTCAATTTACTTGTTTTCATTAATTCGTATTTAAAAGAATGGATAAGAATAAGCAGATTGCGGAATGAGTGTGTTAGTATCAGCCAGAAAATAAAACGTAAAGCATGGCAAGGTGCTGAGTTAGTACGGCTAGTGAATTGCAATGAATAGGCTTGAGCAGAAAGGAAAAAAAAAAGATCCAAAACTAAAATAATAACAAAAAAATGCGTATGCATGCTAATGTGAGAAGACTTAGTGGGAGCCATGAAAAATGCCATTAGATTAAGGAGGTTCATTACTGACTTGCTTCCATTCTTTATCAGTCTCTTTAAAGAAATACTGCATATTCAATTTGCACAGTTAGTACAACTCTTGCGTTATTTTTACTGTATTACTGTTTTAATAGCAATTGTTACAAAAACAAAAAAACAAAATTAAAAAATACTATCAAACATAATAGATATAAAGATATATAGATAATAAATACTATCAAAACGTGTGGATGGTATTTTTTTCTTAATGTCATAAGTGTTTAATGTTAAAATCTATAATGGCAGGAAAAAAAAAATTAAAAAGCAGTTTATAAACTATTTTAAATGACTCAAAATGACGTTAGCACCTGTAATCGGAGGAAGTGAAAGGCAAGGATTTAGGAAACATTCGCTGTGTTCTGAAAAAAAAGAACAAATTATACAAAGGCTTCAAAAAAACTAAGTTAGGGCTTCCTCGAGATCGACTATGAGATTGCCTATGCAGTATTTCTAATTTCCTATACAGAATGGCAAACCTCCTTAATTTAAAATGGGTGCGATTTACCACTGTAAGGCATGCATCAGGACATCCAGGGCCAGCCCGAATTACCGGCACACACGCACACAGGCACGCCCACCCGCGCTCGGGGATGGCCGAGGAAGCGCCAACCGCGGCACAGGATTACAGCTACGGCTCTGCGGGAACCAGGGAGCAGCTCAGCGACTGCCACGCCAGGCTGGGACATGCAATGGCTCGGTTACTAGTTTTAGAAGGGCGGGAACGCGTGAATAATTGGAGTGCTTTTTAAAAAAAAAAAAAAGCTGTCTAGCATAGGGACCGGCTCCCCTGAGGCCAGGAGACCTGTGCCCACCTCCCCCGTACCTACAAGGGTCACACCAGGATTGCCACGCTTCCACTAAGCAAGAGGTTTAGACTTGTTTTTACTTACCGTTGGTCTCTCCTGGCTGCTTATCCCTTTTCCTCTTCTTCTTCTTTCCCTGCAGAAAATATACACAAACGAGAAGGATTAAAAAAAAAACCCTCACCTAAAACAAGTGTCCTTGCAAGAGGGCACCGAGCAGTGAGCGGGAAGCTCCCAAGGGGTGACACCAGAGTATGACACTGGCTCACCCTCGGTGCAGGGAAGTTTGGGGGGACTCAAGGAGATGCTGCATCCTGGGATTGACTCAGTTTGCCCCCCCTGGGACTTTTCAGACAGTCTCACTGCAGCCCCCCCAGTGCTAACACCCACCAAAGCCATGGGCAGCTGGGGAGGGGGCAGAAMGACCCCAAGATGCTGCTTTTGAGCTACCATCATCATGAAGACAAAAACATTTGACATGTCTATGCCCCTGCATTGCAGCAGTTTCCAAAATCATTGGTGGGGCAGGGAAGGGGAGTGAGGTGAGACTGAGCCCCTGGAGTTCCTCAGCACCAAAACCCAAGCTTTCAAGCAGAAGARGAAGCCACAGTAATGAGCAAATCCTAACCTGTAGTTCCACTGGCAACCTAGAAAGCAATGCCAGGACAAGAAAAAAAAAAATCCAGACATAGCCAAGACCCTTCYCACATTTAGCCTCTATCACAAGGAAAAAAACTAATATTTTGCTGAACTCTATGCCTTTCCCAAACACTGTACCACAAGATGATGAAATTTGCTGCCGTTTTTGACTGGAGGGGGAAAAGCCCTTTTTGTTTCTCTCCAACAGTGTGGGAGAGGACAACTGGGAGCCCAACTTCTGTGGAAACACAGTAATTGCTTTCCAATGGAAAAAATATAAAGGAATAAGCAGAGCTTGAAAGAGAAAACCTCTTTTTCCAAGAAAATTCCTCTAACAGTAAGGTACAGGGTTTGCAAAGCAGTACAACAAGGCCAGTGCAGGTGACAGAGCAATTTCATTTTCACAGCTCCCCAGATGCTAAAAGCAACAGCTTCTGGGCCAGCCATGTCAGCTGTGAACAGCACATGAGATCCTGGCTTTGGAAGATATGGTGGCAAGAGCAGCTGTTGAGAAGACCTCAGAACAGCAGTCCCTTGTGGTCAAGGGGCAACAAATATATCTTGGAAGAGGGAATCTCACAGCCCCTCTGATGGGCTGGATGTATCTGGGAAAGCCAAGAGGTTCTCCCACACTGTGGACATCTTTGTCAGTAGATGGATCCCAGATACAGGGTTAAGGTGGGCTTCAACATGACACAGCCACACTTGGGATGCTTGCTATTACAGATTTCCTGGAATGCACTAGTTAAAAACTCCCCCAAAATGTAGAATATTGATTTGCTGCTGTCCTTTTCCTCTCCACAAAGCTGGCCTTGTGACATGGGGCTTCTGTACTCATTCCCCCTTGCTTGCTCAGGGTTGTAAACTGCCATCCTGTTGTCCAGGCTGTTTCAGGTTTATGAGATCCTTCTGGGCATGGAAAAAGCTCTGTGCACTCTGTGCACTCTGTGCACTGTCCATCTTAAAGGAACATTAAGCAACATGCACAAATTGTAGCCTGGATGTTGATGACAAATCATCTCCGACACCTCTAAGGAAATTTTTTGGGATATGGAAGTTGTCAATGTCATTGAGCAGCCATCAGTCTAACATGACAGGCAGACAAGCAYTGCCCTTAAAGCTCCTTGAGAACAGAATAGGGAAAACCACAGTATTTTGAAATCCACATTTCGCATAAAGATGCAAGAGGCTCAGACTCTGCTCCATCTATATTGATCTCAATTCATGGTAACTCTGTGAAAGTCGGTGAATTTTTTCCAGCTTTCAACAATGTAACCGAAAGCAGACAACTGCCTCAAGATCATAAGCCTGATTTTTAATCTCAAGGAGTCCACTTGCATAATTAACAGATGGCATCTGTGGCAAATTTGCTTGAATTTTGCAGTACATTTGGGAATTCGAGGGCTATTTCAATTTGAGACCTTATAACTTCTTCACTCAAGGGCCAGCCACAACACTGGCTGTCCAGTGTTGATTGGATTCCACAACAGTCAGGAATCACCTGCCCTTCACAAGCTCTTCAAACCAGGTATTAAAGTACTGTAATGCCTTTAGGGAGCAATCTGTTAAAAACAGCTATGATATGCAGGAATGTCAGCCAGGGACCAGGAATTTCTTGTTCTTTTTCAACACAAGCTTTTAAAACTGTTCCTAACAAAGAATGGACAGAGGTCCCATCAACTTCATTCCCTTTTCAAAGGAAACAGGGAGAAGAATCATCTCGTTGGCTTGTTCAATTTCTGTGCTATAAGAGGATATTTGATTATATAACTAAATTAATATATGGACTTAAGGAAGGAACTGTGGCAGCAGTTTTTCCAATGCTCTGCAAAAAACACAGTTTTGTCTTTGCCTCAGATTGTCCTCCYRAGATTTRAGCAGACTGTAACGTTATCTGTCAYCCTACTATACTAATTTAGATKCTGCAAGYAAATATGGATGTAAATACTTGCTAACAATTTTGGCAGCTCCCTCTCCAGAGCCAAACTAAGAAGAATTTTGATAGGACTGCAGAGTTCTTTGGTACTAATATCCCAGATAAGCAGCAGGCGAGGTGACTAGACCCTTACATAATTCTGAGTCCAGCACTCAGCACTGCAGAACATCTTAGATCTCAGGAAGAGCCAGTGTGCCTTGTGACACCAACAAGCCACGAGGCTGAAAGCTGCATTTCCTGAACGCACTGCTGCTGTCTCTGAAGGCTTGGGCTAGAGCTGGCCTTATCCTTGAGCCCGATGTGAGGTGCTTAACAATTTAACCACTTCAAGCAGCCCAAAGTCGCTCCCCTGCCTGACGTGTGAAAGGCTCGAGACCCTACAAACGGCTGAGGGAGGAGGGGCACTCAGGAGAGCTGTGAATGGACCAGGAGAGGAGACATAAATAAATCCTGCGGGTGATGCAAAGGTACCACGCTCTCCTCAGGCAGGAAGGTTCCCCCTGAAGGTCACTTGGGGGTACAGCATCAAGCCGCTGGGAAAGCACCGGCTTTCTCATCCTGTCCTTTTTAGCTTGAGAAGAAAGGGTTTCTCAGTGTTCACACAGTGAGGACAAAAGTAAAAGGTCCTAAACACTGAGGCTTTGTACATGCCCATCTGTCGGTGGCACAGTCACTGCGCRGAACGAGCGCTCCCGAAACCTCAGTCGAGCCCGCACTCCCTTTTGAACACCCAAGAAGACACTGCACAGTGCTGAGGAACTACCTGGAGCTGAGGTCTGAGCCTCAGGCCACACTGTGCTGAAAAGGAAAGGAAAAGCTGTGCCTCATCAGGCTTAAAAAGGTCTCCTCTGAGGAGCACAGGATCAAGAATATTCTGAACTGGAAGGACAATTGAACACATAGGGCTACACCTGCAATGACCAAGGAGGGAGAGCTGAGCCCAGTGGAAAGAAAAGATGATCAAGAAAACAGAAGGATTTGGAAAAATGGCCTTAAGTACATRTTACTAAATAAGTGAGCATGTGTAYTGTCCACCACTGAAAYGGGAAAAGAGCAAAGAGAGATGCTGCTGCTGCTCCTGGCCTTGCTRCAGACTCTGAACTGGCTTCCTCTCACCCAGACATGTAAAAATGCAGATTCACAGAGGCAAGTATTGTCATATATGGCAAAATTGGATATTTATGGTAAAACAGGCAGTGATGATGGGGATGGAAGAGACAGACTTCAACAAAACCGTAATATGTATCTCTAGACAAAACTGACGTCAGTCTCAGAGCTGTTGGTCCCCAAACCTGCAGGGAAGCCTGACTAGAAGGCAGGGAGCAGGGTTTATTACAGAGTTAGAGACCTTGGGAGTTTTACGTGATTTTTATTTAACTTTTAAAAAAAAAATCAAGATGCTGCTATAATCCTATTAAAAAAGGGTTTAGAGMTCCCACCAATCCACAAATCTGTCAAGAATTTATGGGCTTAGGCTTGCAAATACTTATTACCATCTGCACTGCTTACCCTTCATGGAAGGAGCTAGGGGTTATAAAGCTGGCCTTATGCTTTTTAACAGACAGAAAACTTCACCACTTTTAGCTCAAAACCAGGCTTTCTGAATCRTGCAGGGAGAAATCAATCTTAAAAACAATACACAAACTGACCACAAATTCCAATACACTTTTTAAAAAATGAGGAGGGTAGAGGGGAAAAAAAGGTAATATGGGCATGAAAAAGAAAACATAAACAAAATATACAACTGCAGGGCATTGAATAATTCATTTAATCCCACTTGAGAGTAAGACTTCCAAATATATAATGCTTTTGGTTTTGCCAGTCCTTCTCTGAAGCTAGGATAAGTCAGTCTTCCACTTTCCACTATACTCTCACACAGATAAGCACAAGACACTAATAATTTGTCTCTTTTGGTGGAAAGGCGAAGAGCCACATTAGGGAGATTTTAAATTTTGTTTTAAAAAGTGAAATCCAAAATGACCAGGAAGCCAAACAGCATTTCCAGATGCTGGTAAAAGTGAAGGCAAGACTCTCCACAGTGCTCTGCTGTCATCCCTCAGTTCTAACCCCTTACTAGACCCCAAGTGGAGGAATGGGAATTACCCCCAGTAGTTTTGGTATCGCCCGTTGTCACCAGATTGGGATCCTGAGGCTTTCCACGCAGTGCTTGTGTGCAATGTGTGGTCGCAGCTCAGCAGGGCACACAGACATTTCTACAAGCTCTACTACTAAAAAAGTTTCCAGCTGCATAGGAACCTACATAGTTATCCCGTGCAGACCAGCCTGGGTACAGCTGCATGTGAAGCTGTCGCTCCTTCCTCGCTAGTTCATAGTATTTCGCTTGTTCTTCTCTGGATAGCGCATGCCACTGRGGTGGGGAAAAGACAAAAAGACAAAATAAAAAGCACTAGTGGTTGGRGTTTCTTCAAGCACATTAACAGCAAAGTGTATTATTTATTTATATAAATACAGTTAGAGTCGATTTTCATAAAAAAAAAGAGATAAAACCAGATGATCTGGCATGCTGACATTGGTATTTTATTTATAACTCCAGATCATAACAGCAGTTAAATCAACTGAACCACAACTAATCATTTACATGCACTCAACCCCTTTGTCTCCTGTTGAGAGAGAGGAATTAAGGAATCTAAACAAAAACAAACAGCAGGGGAGATGGTCCAGAAGCTGAACTGCTCCTCCTGAGCCAGAACTCAGTCACAGCTTTGGAGGTGGTCTCCCTCACTGCAACTCCCTCCCACCTTCTGTCTCTCACAGATGCTGATACTAGTACTGCACTCAAAGGTTTTTCCATTTTTCCATTTCCCATTTACTTTTCTGATTATCTTGGGCCAAAACAAAAATATATGATTTTTTTCATCTCCTACTCATGGAAGTAACACTGAAATAAGACTGCTATTAATTAACTCCTCCTCTTCCCCATGAATGACCCCATTGGCAAGAAGAGTCTCCGAGATCTAAAMACAAAACCAAGGCCTTTGGTTTAGTAATTCCCCTATTCTTTTTTACAATAGCAGAAAAACACAGGGATTCAGAAGATGTAAAYCCTACCAGGTTTCAGGCCCTGCTTGTGCTTGTCCCTTGTTACCTACCCTTCGACCGAGGATTTGGTTGATGGCTGCGCTCTCTTTCAATGTGCATTCTGCTACAACTTTTGCTCTCATTTCCTTCATATACAACATAAATGCATTAAGAGGTTTCTTTATGTGTGGCTTCTTTTTCTCTTCTTCTTTTTTGGAGTCCTGATGTTTTCTGAAGGGTAAAGATACAACAGACAGAGACCTCACAGTGAGAAYGCCTTGTGAGTTTATTAAATCAATCCCCTCAATCTCTCTAGCACTAATACTCAGCAATCTCAGGAAGAGGACCAGAAGGCTCTCTAGAGCCTTCACCCTGGCTGCTGTAAGAGCATCATAAGAAAACTCATCTCATGTTTATGCAACATCACCAAGTACCCTCTCAGCCCCTACAAGAACCTTGGAAGGACATGGGCATCCASAAAAATGGGCTCTGGTGGAGAGCTGGAGCATGACAGTGGAGGAAATAATTACAGCCCATCATCAATGGGCTCTCACCAGTTCAAACCTAAACTTGATACCAGTTCTCTGCAGCTTTGAAGAAGCCATTTATGCTCTACTTTTTGTCTCCTGTGGTGCATCTGTTATCTCAAGGTTTCAAACTGGGCGCTGAGTAATAGAGAAACTGGTCAAGAAACTTGAATCTTGATCAAGAAAATTCCACTTCCTCGTTAAAACAGGTGAAATTAACAACTCCTTGCCTATGTCATAGAATGACTGAAAGACTGCTACCATCATTGTGACACACTTTGGCAGCTAAACCACATTCAAATCAATTATAACAGAAAAAAAAATTGAAATATTTCCCAGCAAAAACATCAAAAACCCAAGCCTCTTTACAAGCCAMACACACAYAGGTGATGCTTTGAGGATTCTAAARAGAAGACAGGGGAAGCAACAACTTACGAGCTGTGGAGTGAGCCGACGTCGCTCTGGGAAGATTCCTGTTTGACTGTTGGTGTGACTATGGCCGGATGAGGAATTCCAGTTGTGTGTAAACTATGGTGTGGCGGGACCATGTGTGGAGGAAACCTAGAGGAGAGAAAGCTGTGTAAATCGTCAGAATAAAAATGAATGAATGGGGAGGGATGTGTACACACATTACAACAAAAAAAACCAAAAAAACTGGCATATAACAAGCACATGACAGCTAGACAAAGCATATGAAAGCTGGCAGCATTAATTAGCAATAAATTAAACATAATGACTCTTCTAATGTCATTAAAGCCAATCTTCCCCTTCATTATCATTACTGACATGAGACATCATGATTTTTAACATCTTTAACAAAAGGMGAATTCAACTGGATGGACTTGTATAAAGATGGAATTTCAGCTACCTGAAACAAAATCCACCAGTCCATTTCTTTGCTAAGAAATTATGTGTGGCAAACAAGGAATCAATTTTTATAGTTTTGAATCATGTTGTGAATTTAGGATGACATCTTTTATTCTATATTGACAGCAAAATAAAATATTAATGCCAACACATTCTAGATGCATTTTTGATAATACTTATAGACGCCTCATTAGCTACATTTTGTTGATGGAGCTGAAGAAAATATTTATTTGTGTCTAATAAATCTCTGARCCACATTGCTTTAACAGAAAGTGGAAGACTGTGGAATTTCTGATCCATTAAAGTAACCTAGAAAGGCTTAAATTCATGCAAAGGAACAGTCTAGCCTTTCTAAAGAGAAAAAAATGTTGCCAGCTTTATGGTTTATGGTCATATACACGGACAGATCCCGGTCCTGCAAATGGATTCAGAGGGATGCACAATCCTTCTGCATGAATCCAATTGCTTGGCTGGGATCACAGCACAAACATGGCACAATTATTCAGACTTTTTACATTTTAACAGAAATGAAAAAAACTTTTCAAAAGCAGGATTGATTTATATCATTATTTCCCAACAGTCTCAGAAAGGTTTTGCAGTGAATAAGGAAAGCATGGTATGACTGACTGCCTTTCCCTCAGAAAACCCTCCCTGAAATCAACAGGTTCCCTGGCAATGGGATCAAGCCTAAAAATATGTTTCTGAAGTAACTTTCCTCAAAATGCCAAAACTAAAGTAACCTGGGAAATGACAAGGGCTTTTCTATCTGCAAATCCCTACTCTCATCCCAGACTTTGAACCATCTGGTCCACACAAAATAACCCAAGATTATGGAACACTCAATGGGATAAATAATTTCTTCTATCATCAGCATAGAAAAAGATTTTTTTCTATCCAACAGGATTTAAAATGGGATGATATACCATGGATATCACTGTGCATAAGCATCAGAAATATAGTGGGTTTATCTTTTTTTCTYCCCTCTTAWAAATTCCAATATTGAGCTCAACCCCACCCCCTGTGAGTGCCTGGACATTCCCTGCATTCTCAAGATGACATAGAAGTACTTTCATGAGCAAGAGCACTGTCCACTACAAGCTCTGAGGACCTTTGTCCATCAGCTGGCAGTACTCAGGGGGATTAGACAGAAGGATTTGGGCTTTGAAGGCAGTGGTGGGAAGAGCAAGGACTGACAGGGAGAATGTGAACTTGTTCAAACTGTAGAGAATTGCAGCTCTTCACRAACAAAGGCATGGAGAGAAGAGAGGCAGGAAGGTGGGATGACAAGGGAAGAGGAGAATGGGCAGCAAAATGGTCATTCCTAYTTCTGCTAAAGACTCACGGACACAAATCTCCAAGTGGGCTGTCCAAGTGCCTTCCCACTCTCTGACAAAAGTAGCTGGGAGAGAAGCACACATTTGAGGATATACTTTGGCTCATGGTAGGTCAGAACAGAAGAAAATGTCGAGGTTGCAAAGGAGACTGACATCCGTGTCCCAGTTCTGCCACAGAACTGCCCACCATCAGCAAGACACAAACTGGGCCTTTGCATCATTTTTTCCTGTTCTGTCTTTATTTCCATGTGTATGTATTTTGATTGGACATATCTAAAATTTGTTCACACAGTGCCTGGGACCTTCAGACACAGTACAATGCAAATAAAAACTGACRGTATCAGTTGTTTTATTTTAAAAATCACTTACAAAACGTGGGCAAAAATAAAACCGATGGCAAAAAATGGACCTCACTGAAGGCAGTCTAAGCACAGTGATAAAAAGTTGGCACACATCCTATCCAGTGACTGGCAAAACCCTGCATTCCAGAGAGGACTGTGCTGCTGGGGCTGGCTAGGCCAGAGCCAAAGGGACAGTGAAGGATGGAGATGGAGATGAAAGTCTTCCTTCAGAGAGCAGGCAGGAAGAACTGTGCTGCTCTGACATGAGGGCTCGGGGGGAAGCACAGAGAGCATGTATTAGCAAGGAGAAAACCTGGGTGCAGAGCACAACATGCACGTGTTGTGTGCAAGCCTGAAGGATGGCAAAGCCTCCCCTGACCTCAGCTGGGATATTTTACTCACTGGGCTCTAAACTCCAAAGACAGCAGCCTTCATCAACAAGCAGTTACAGCTCAATAGTTATTTTCAGGGTTGCAGTTTTCAGGAGGAAGTGAGTGGTGTGCTCATTATCAGTGACCATTCAGTCTTTCATACTGAATCTCTCCAATTCACAAGGCTGCCTGTTGGGCTTACACACCCCTTCCTACGTTTAGGGCTATAAAAACATGCTCCAGAACCTAAAGTTGCTCTCACAATTCCACAGACTTCCGTGGGCTGCGTGAGGGCCCAGCCCAAAATCTGAGTGCCTGCTCATTTCCATGTAGACAGCCACTCACATGGCAATATGAGCAGGGGAAGAGTGTTAATTTTTAACTTCCTGGCTGCACTCCAACTTCAGTAATTACATTCAGCAAAAGTGAATTTCCCCTGAAATTTCAATTACAGAAGGTATTTTCCACTGCCACCACTTAACTGCTGTGCAGTGTTTGTCTGGTGTAATTCTGCTAAATTATTTCCTGATTTCYTCTCGCAGCAGTTGTTTTTTCATAGTGGGTCCACTGTTTGCCCATCACTCAGTCAGCCCTGTCTCATTTCACCTTAAAGGCATATTACAGATGGGTAATGAAGGATCAAGAGATGTTACAGGCACGCTGCAAGCATGCAGTGAGAGTGTGGCCATGCTACCAGCAGCAACAGAGTTGAAAATGGTTAAAACAACCTGAAGACACTACCTTAATAGTCTAAACCATTTATGAAAAATCACTATTAGTCACCCATTAACCTTTTATAAACTATTCATAAGCACACTCGAACTAATGAACGGTAATTAAGGTTGGGAAGCACTATAGGCTCCAAAGATCTATACCATAACGCAGGCAAAGATGGGAACTACTTTTAAAAGAAGGAAAAGGGAAACAGTGGATGGAGGGGTGAGGTTTGGTGTCTACCCTGGCTTCATTGTGGGGGCAGAGCCAGYACAGCAAAGGTTTGTAGCAGGGCTGTTGCCCAAGGCACTGCTGGGCATCTCCCAACCACASCGGACACTCGGACAGGGGCTGCCCCACAGCTGAGCCCTGGCTGATGCTGGAAAACATCCCTGGAACCAGGTATGAGAGCACAGCTTGCCCAGAGGGTGTTCTCATCTAGGGGAAACCAGGGGAGAAGTTTCTGGGCTGAAACAAAGGGTAAACATCTTAAATCTATTCATGCCCTGCACGTGTGCCTGAGCGTGTGCGCGCGCACGGGCTCCTGTCAGAGACAAAAAGAAAGGCTCCCTGTGTGTATGCACACCCCTCACCTTCGCCTGAGACATTCACCAGATTTTTTTTTTTTTTTCTCTAGACAAGTATTCCATGAATTGCAATAAACACCCTAAAAATTCTAAGCAGCTCATTATACACCACTGTCTCCTTTTATGGCTCCAAGCCAGAATATAATGATGAGTCTTAACTTGTTAAGGACAACTAATTTTTTGTTCCTGGCTGTCTCAGGGGCTTCTCTCTTACTCACTCTCACTTTACTTCACTGTTGACATGTTTCTGTTAACTGGATGTCATCTGCCTGCCTTGATTTTATGCACAAGCAGTGGGATGCATTTTTCTGTGCAACAATTCTGCTTTGAGTTGCATTAGATTTGTCATTATTCTCTCATTTTCCCCTTGCACTTGTAACATTTCATCTATTCCTGCCTTATTTTTTGAGCCACGGTGCACCCACATTATGGTTTATACATGATCTTGCTCCCTTTGAAGCCGGCAGATTTCAGAGCCAGCCCTCGTCAGGAGAAGTGCCTGCTACCAATTTAGCAGGCTGAGGGCCCCGAGCTCCAACAACTCAATCTAAAGGGGGTCACAGGGTGGCACAAGCGAGTGTCAGCAAGTGCTGTTTAATTGCCAATCTAGGCTTCTCCATGGTGTTTAAAGTATAATGACCCATCACTTAATTCTGAGAAGTCCTGGCCCTGCTGCTGAATGGAATGAATATCAAAGGATGTGCTAGAACAGGGCAAGGAGCCTACATTTCCTATAACTGCCATAAGTATAATAGACCTCTACTTCTGTCGTCCCATTACCACAATAATGTATTTAATTTGCTGTGTACTCTTTTTAACTAGATACCTTTCATAAAGTCTATCTTGGGAATATAGCCCCCCCCCCTTCCACATCTCCCCCCTCCCTCAAATGACTAGCCTCTCTAATAATAATTAAACTAAATCAAGCTCTACTTTGCCTCACACCATGCCTGCAAGTCTTTTACAGATATTAAAAAAGATTAAATGGGGGGAGGGAACCATTGTTTAAATTTGCAGTTCTCTCCCCAGCCCAGTATTTTTTCTCCCCCGGGCTGGGAGTACCAATTTTTTTTAAGTTGATTTTCCAGTTGTCTTTCTATTTGCTGGACCAGCATGGGTAAATTTGTAATTTTTAGGTTTTTGTTTACTTATCTAAAGCACACATCACCCTATTTCTCCACCCATTCATTCATGAGCTCTAGGTACAGGTTTCCATTTCCCAGTGAGGTGTGCTTCCCCCCAGCCCTCACCAATCTTTTCCTCCTTAGATCATCTATGCACCCACGTTCACATATTAAGCTGAAGAGATGGAAAGGAAGGGACAGAGCAGGGAAGAGACGTGGAACCTTGCTATGTAATGCATGCTAATTTAATTATGTGCCATCATCAAAATGGATTAGCTGTTTCAGCCCATCAGGAAAGTCTAAACTTCCACCGATTTAATTAACCAGGCTGAAAATCAGATGAACAGAAAATAAAACTATCATTAGGAGCAATTAGTGATTACTTAAACATAGTGCTGCCAACCAGTTTGTAAATAAAACTAGCAGCCCCTGGAAAATTAGATGGAATTAATTGGAGGTAGGGAGGGGGAGAAATGTATACTTCTAAAGCTTTTGAGGGTCAGGCAGGCCCTTTTATGTTGACTATCAGTGTTTGGAGCTTTGGGAGGGGAAAGCACAGCACAATAACCTTCCTCCCAACTGTGCTGAAGAGCAGTCCTCCTCCCTCCCGAGCCTTCCCTCCCACGCACACAGCGCTGCTCCGGCTGGTGGCCACCGAGAAAGCCAAGGGTATCACGACTTCCCCTCCTTGCTTTTTCAACATTACATTCTCCCAGCTCTTTCATTTAGTTTGGCTTTTAAAGGTGGCTTCTCACTCCTCCTCCTCTCCCTCTTAAACAAATTCCTGAGGCCCAGTGACATCATTAGGACACCACCTTCTCCTGACTTGGGAAGATGGCTCTCATCCCCTCCTCTGCCCCACCAAAATGCTAAAGATGATTTGTTTAACTGAAGTGCTTTCAGAAATCTGCTGCCTAGGTGAAATGCTCTCCTCCAGAGAACTGGAGGAGGAGCTACATTTGCTCTTAATTTAGGACCTCAGTATTTGAACTCACCTTGACATGGAAGCATTGACGGTCAGAGCTGTTGGGTAAGGGTGGCGGAAACCCCCTGTCGTGATTGGGTACACTGGCTGACCTTGCCTGGCAAAAAAAGAAGGGAAA